TAAAACTTTTTAAAAAATGTATGGATTAATACAATTTTTTTATGATAAATACTATTTATATACCTCTTTCATTCAACATCCTTTTTATTTAAATAAAACCATTTCCCTTTAAATATTTATATATTATAAATATATATAAATATATTTGTTCATATATAACACTAATAAATCATAAAACTTGAATCAGAATATAAATAAGGAAATAGGAAATCATGTATCTTTTGGAATAATCTATTCATTTTTTACAATTTAAACATTATCTGCAGATTTGCATCGAATCGTTTTTTATGATAGTGATTTTAATTGAAGAAAAAGGGAGGAAATTAATCAATGGCTAGGGTTGTGGAGATCAGCTCTTGAAGAAAAGAAATTAAGAATAAGTAGAAGTAAGACATAGTATAACACTATCTACATATTTGCATCAAAGCGTTTTTATGATAGTGATTATAATTATGGTTAGATATCATTATACTTAACTCAACTTTGCCACATACTCACTGTGCTGGATTTTTTGAAAGTGAGTTTTTTTTTTTTATTTTAAACCTCGCACTTAAAAATAATTATTTTCAATTATATAGGAAAATATAAAATTATGAATAAGTAGCTCTTATTGATTTAAGTAATTTTAATGAAATTTTTAAAGTAAAAAAATTTTTAATTGTAGTAATATTATTATTATTGCTGTAGTAAATTTTAGTAATATTATACTTACTTAAATCCAAATTTAGAAAGCAAAGTTTGACCAGTTTTTATGGAATTTTTGGAAAGCCCTTGCCTAGGATACGATTGTTTGACATTTTTTGGCGTGGAATATATTTTTGGCTTCATTTCAAAAGACACTTTAGCAGTTTGACTACAAAAGCCTTCATCTACATCATTATCAGCCTGGAAGTCGTAATTTTTTTTTCACAAAATTGTTATAAATTTCAAAAACAAAAAAATAAAATACTATTTGTTTCTTTAATTACAAACTGAGGAGACTTGATAATTGATTGAGTACTATTTAAAGAAGGTTTAAAATCAAAAATTAAATTTTCAATTTCTTTAATGTTTGATTGATTGAAATTGTTAATTTTATCACTTTTAATGGAATTTGTACCAGCCTGTGAAATATCATCATAAGGACTTTTTTCAATATTATTAACAATAATATGATTGTCACATTTTGATTCATATTCATCAACAGAGGATTTTAAACATAAACTATTTGTTTCTTCAGAATTTGAGGAAATTTTTATAATAGATTCATCAATTTTACGACATTTAAATGGATTAATATAATTTTGGGTTTTAGTTGAACCTTGAGATGAAAAATACCTAAAAAAGTTAAGTTATTAATTATTATATTAAATTATCATTTAAAAATTTAAATTAAGCAAGATCTTAAAAAGTATACATTAAACATGGTTATATATGTTAAATCTTACCCACTAACAACTTCTTTTTCTGTATTTAAAACAGTATATTTTCTCTTTGCTAATTTCTTTAAGCCAGTTAAGACTTCAGGTTCATATTCTTTATTTTTAGAGTTTAACTTTGTATTTATATTTATAAGAAAATGTTCATTGTTACGTTCACTCTTCATAATAGGACTTTTTTTTATCTTTAAAACGGGATTTATTTCAGTTTTTTCAGTTTCATAAATTTCCTCCAAGGTGTTTAAGATATCACTTTCATTTACTAAAATTGCAAAAAAAAAAAAAACAATTAATTGCCTTTGACGTTGACAGTGGTTAAAATCATTTTTTTGGGTAAAATGAGGTTGAACTGAAAATAAATATTTCAAAATTAACATTTTTACTAGAGTATCAACAATATTAATACAATATTCTTGTATTTAAAATTTAAATAAATAGCTAAAATGAATAAATGTCATAGTTATTTTATATAACTTACCTGGAATTTTTTTAGTTAAAATGGAACTGGTGTTAGAAAATTTTTGAAAAGTTTTGGATGTTGGACTAGATGCTGATATTTTGGCTCTAGTAGGAATTGAACATAAATTATTAAGAGATGTTGAACTTGATGACCCAAAGTTTAATTCAGTTGACTGAAAATCTTGTGACCAAATACTTTTATGACGAGATAATAAAGAAGACTTTTTGAAGTTCTAGAAAATGATATTAACAATAAAATTTTATTTTAACAGAAGAATTTTACAACTTACTTGTTTGACATCAGGATTCCAATCATCCATGACATGTAATGAAATTGGATCAACATTTCCAATTGCAAGTTGAAAGGCTTCAGAATTAGTTAATTTACTAGATAATACACTTTTTTGTGAGTCCGGAATTTCATTTAATGGTTTTATTTTACGAGATAAAGGATCATAAATTGGTTGATAAAGAAACATACAATTAGCATCTAAGAATTGATCCCGATATTCTAAAGGAACTTTAATGTTTAAAAATGGGCCAAGTTTAATAAGAGCCTATGATAAAAAAATAATTAAATTTCAAATATTAACAAGTAAATATGTATGAAAAAATACTTTATAAATATCAGGTTCACTAATTCTAGTAATAAATTGACGAGCTTTACTTAAACCAACTCCACTTATAGATGGTAAGTAATCACAACCTGATAATATGCACATGTAACGGAATTTGTCCATGGTAAATTGATCAGGACGGATGTTCATTGAAAGGTAAAGTTTGTCTTGTTCAATTAATAAACCTCCACCATTTTGATCCATTTTAAATAATACCTAGAAAATTAGATAAATCAATTAAATTTTAAAAATGAAAAGAAAAATTTTATACTTTACTTTTTTACAGCCAAATAACAAAAGATCAGAATCTTCTGTTATTACTAAATGAGCAATACCACTTATATTTAAATAAGCTAATTGTGGATCTGCTTCATATGGTGCTACTATGCAATCAACATTTATTTCTCTACACTGTTTAATTAAATTGAGAGCCATTTTATGAGTTACATCAACACTGCGCTTCAATAATGATATTGCTTCTTTTCCTCTATCTAAGCGCAATAATTCAGCAGCTTTTTTTTTATTTTGGTCTCTTAACCTTTAAATTACATACTAAAATAAGATATGATTACAAATGTTAAATAAATCAATTTTTTTTTATATAAAATCAAAAACATTAGGTTAATTCAAAGTGGGCAAAATTTAAGATAAATGGTATTATTTTATTAATTATATTTATTCAATTAGGGGCATCATTTGGGTGGGGCAACTTGAGTATTTGCCAGTCTAAATTTTCAATGAATATTAGGTCCACACAGTGTTCTAAAATGTAATTTTAGTAGGACAAAATTTCTATTTTTGAATAGAAAAGATGTATTAAAAATTTTTTTGAGGCTGCTAAATGCAATATATTTTCAATACCTCCCTTTTTAGGTTAGGTAATAGGGAGTCTTTTATTAATTATAGTCAATTATTGATTTAATATATCAAAATATGTCATTTTATTGTTTTTTTTTTCATTATAAAACTTGATCCTTCAAACTAGTGTAAACATTACAAAATAAAAATTTTAATTATGTTAAACTTAAATAATAAAAAAAGAATACAGCCTTTTTTTTTTAAATAGTTTTATTTTCATATAAAATTAGCTTTTTGATTATATTATGAAGATAAATTGCAAGCGGTTTTGTAAAATGGTGAGCCACTTAAAAACTTGCTACAGTCTAATATAATCTGAAATAATGCCTTTGTATTAAATAGATAACCAAATTAATAATATTAGGATTAATTATGTCAACTCTCTTTTTATTAAGGTTAATATACATTTCTAAGAAAAACTATTTCATGGAAGCATATTATTGAAGAGGAAGAATTATCCTTCTTTCATCTTAAGAAGGTATTGAGTTATGTATATATTTTTTTATCTATATAAAATGTATATTATAGTTAAATGTTACGTTAAATTTATGTTAGAGGTTAATATAGTTATATAAAAAATAATGTGATATGATTTTATAGTAATAAAAATTTATTTAAAATTGAAAAAAATAATTTTAATTAAAACTTCTTATGAAGTAATGAAAAATATCAATCTGTATTTTTGAATTAAAATAGTTAATGTTTAAAAATAAAGTTGAAAAAAATAAAAACCATTACATTCTTCTTTTGGATTCTGTTTCAGCTTTTGCAGGCAAGTGTTGTCCATCAAACACTAGTATAGGTTTAATGTTTTTAGATAGCAGCATAGTTACATATCTCATACAATAATTAACATACCTGGTTGAATATAAAGTATTATTTATTTTAATTAATTTAATATTTTTAAACAATTAAAAAACTTACTGTAACAACTAAATATTTATTCAAAAAAATTATTTTTACCACAGAATATTTTACAGCAAAAACTATTTTATTTAGAGATGTAAAAATTAATTAACTGGTTATTGCCTATTAAGCAGTATCAATAAAAGGAATATTTTTTTTGTTAAATTTGAAGGTAAATACATTTGTTCATTTTTTATCTTGAAGTTTTTAAAGGTGGGCTTATTTAGTAGTTACAGTAAGCTTTTCAGTTGTAAACCATAAATCCTATTATGGATATTTCAAAAAGAAAAGTATATCTAATATAAAATTAATATGGTATAAATTTAAGTGATACATTTAAATATAATTGAATTAATATTAAATTTCATAATTACGCAAGATTATCTTCTCCTCGTGCTAATTTATCAGCACAAATAAAAACACCCTTATGTAGCCAACAATAGGCATCAACTGCAACGGTGCATCCTGAATAATCGGAAATATTAATAGGTTTTGAAGATTTTTCAAGAAATGGTATCAAACCTTGAATTCCCATAATTTTTAAGATAATTATAAATCAAATAGTTTCATGAAATCAATTACTCATTATTCAAAATTTATAAAAATGTCAAACATTAATAACAAATAAGATTCATTAACAATTACAAATAGTTATCCATAAATTAAAACTATGTTATTTTCATTTCAAAATAATATTTTGAAATAATTTTAAGTTAGAGTCGAGATACAGAGAAAACTTAAGTTCAATAATCATTTTTGCTCTATCTCGCTTTTTTTCTTTTAACCGCCAAAAATGTGTTAAATACATAATTCAGTGATAAACATATATAAAATTATAGTCAGGATAACCATTAAAACTAAATAGAATTTAAATAATACCTATCATTTTAAACAGCAATTTCGGCAGTACAGTACAGTAATCAGCTGTTTTTATTATAGAATTTATAGGTTATATTTCATTGAGTAAGTAATATTTTGATAAATTAGATATTATTCCGGTGTTGTAAACTTAGGATTTTTAAATATAATTATAAAAGATTTTGGCATAGTTTTTTTATTATTGAGAGTAAAATATTTATTTTCATAGAGTGATACTTGTATACATCTTTAAAAAAAAATGTTAAGTTCTGCTATTCGCTTAGTGTGTCGACATATGCGACCAAATTCTAAAAAGTAAGATAAATTTAATTTAAATAGTATTTAATTGAGTTTTGTTACTTGATTATTCCTTGTTTTTTTTTTTAAGAAATATCAAACTATACTCTGTTGCTACTCAACCTCTAGTAGTACCTGATCCTGACGGAACTGTTCAAGCTTCACCAAAACTTGAAAAATTATATGAAGAAATAACATCTTTGAATATGATTGAAGTTGCTCAGTTTAGTGAACTATTAAAAGTTCGATTAAATCTTAAAGATGTACCAATGGGAGCTGTAGTTAGCACATCTGCTGCTGCACAAGTAGAATTAGATTTTTATGTACTTGTTTTTGATGGTTAAAAATATTCAATTTTTTTTTATACTTGTATAAAGGAAGAAGAAGAAGAAGTAGCTCAAACTGTTAAAACTAGTTTTACTGTTAAACTTATGAAATTTGATGAAAAACAAAAAGTTGCATTAATCAAAGAAGTAAAAAATTTGTTGGATGGCATGAATTTAGTACAGGTATTATATTTATTTGTGAAAAATTTCTAATATTAAATAAAAAATTTAATTATTTCTCTATTTTTAAGGCTAAAAAATTTGTTGAAAGTGCTCCTGCAGTTGTCAAAACTGATATTGGAAAAGATGAAGCAGACAAATTAAAAGAAGCGCTTTCTAAAGTTGGAGCAGAATGTGTTATTGACTAATTTAAAATAATTTTACTATTTAATATTTTTTTTGCAAAGTTTTAATTTTACCTAGTTTAATTAGTAATTTCATTTTAAATATAAAATTATTTATGATATTAAATTGATTATTAAATAATAAATTTTATTATTTTTCATATTTCACTCGTAGTATCCATGTTAAATAGGTTTAAAAATAGGTGTCTAATTTATGTTCTAGTATTATTATAATATCAGTTATTTTATAAGTAGAGTTAGATAATTTTACTATGCTTAATTCAAAAAGTTTTAAAGCTACATATTTTCAAAGAAAAAGAAAAAATATTTTATAATATTTACAGTGTTCAATCATACAAAACTATTGTTCATGTAAAATTAGCATAGAAAATGACGTAATAAAAATTATAAAGTAATAGTTAAAATAAAAATAAAAATATTTCAATCATGATCTCTGCTTGTCTATCATGTAATCAATTCTTAATAAGTATATTAAATAAATAAATAAATATACTAAATAGTAGTACTAAATGTTTAAAATACTTTATCAGTAATTGTTAAAAAAATCTTTGTTATGATACTGATACTGATATCATTAAGTCAAATAATCATAAAATTCTATTATTTGTTGTTATAACAATAGATATTTAGAAACTTGTTATAATAATTCAAATTCTTTAATTACTGAGAAAGAGGAATGGGAGGCTGTGGAATCAATGAAAAAGAATAGTGCAGTAGAACCAGATGACGTGCCAATAGAAGTAGGGAAAATATTAGGCGGTGTTGACCATAAGGTGTTTGAAAGAACTTTTAAATAAAATCTTATTAGAAGTGAAAATTCCAAATGAATAATAAGAGTAGGAGTGGACAAAGTTTCTTCTTTAAGCCCTTACTTATTTAAGCTTCGATGCGAAGCAAAAAAGGTATTAATTTTATTATTATGTGTTTTTTTTTGTGTCTGTTATCACTTTTTCTCAGCTCTCAACAAGTTGATTTCTTTCAACGATACGTCAAAAGATCATAAATCGTATCTCGTCAAAGACATTATCCTCAAAAATTGAAAAAATTTCCCTCGTTCTCTTTTTTAAAAATAAACAAGTCAATAAATTTTTTTTATAGATATATGAGGTATTTACCTATTGTTTTGTATATTTTTTGTAGAAATCTGACCCTTTACTTGCCCACATTATGGGATTCAAAATGACAATTTTTTCAAAAAAAAATCAACTTTTTCAACTTAAATTTTGAAAATGTTCCGAAAACTCTGACACTTTATCATGAAAAAAAATTTCAGACTTTATTTTGTCTTCACGGTGAAAATGGATACCAAACATTATTTTTGTATTAAAATTCTCGATTTTATATTTTACATGTTTAACTTTATATTTATTTATCTTTTTGAAAAATGTATAGATCAATACAATTTTTTCATGAGTAGTATACATCATTCATTTATGGTTAATTTATAATAATTTTTTGGTATGTTCACCTTTATTACTACGATTGAGGGAAACGTTAAACGAGGACAGCAGATGTGTGCGAACGTGTCAAGTAGAAGTTTAGGATAAAGATGGCCGACCCCAAATAGTTGAGATAAAGGTAAGGAAAAGAAGAATAATTTATAGAAATACCTTTTTTTACAAAAATTATTTATGCACGGGACTATTTTCCCTTTTTTGCCCCCATCCCACTTAATTATGTCACTGACATCGTATATTTTTTATAAAATGAATAAATATATTACCTATTAGTCTAATGCAAAACTATATTACCTATATATATATATATATTGTAATTTATATGTTTATTGTAATTATTTATATATGACTTCGGTTAATCTAGTGGTAGTATTCATTTTTGATTTAAATCAATTTAGGGGACAAGAAAAAGTTCAATTTTGGAGATAGGAATACATCTGTATATATTTTTGGAGTACAAAGAACATTAGTGTACATTTGTAAAAAAAAAAAAATGGGGGATATATTGAGTTTTCTATCATTCTGATTTTTTTTTTTATAAAAATACATATAATTTTCGTTTAAATTTTACTCATAATATGTGTAATTTATATTAATATTATTATTATTTCGTAGATGATATCATTTCCTCATTTAAGAAAAAATTAACTATATAATTTACATTATCAAATTTTTGAAAAATGACACAGAAATTAATTTAATGAATTGAATTGTGACTGAAATGTTGATTTATAAATAAATTTATGTATTAGTTATCTTCATTTTTTAAATAGTTTTGATAATAAATCTTAATACTATAATAGTTCTTAAAAGGTATTTTCATCTACATTGTCTAAAGCTATGCACAATGAACATTTTTCATTTTTTTTATAGCAGTCATAACAAAGTTTATGATTGTATAAATACGCATCATAATCTCCTGGCCCTTCTTTGCAATGCTCACATTTCGTCTCAGTTTTTGAGTTTTCATTGTATTGTTGATTAAGATATTCGACTATTTTTTCACTAGGTACTTCATGGTATTTTTTAATTGTGTATTCAACAGGATTTACACTTGGTATTTCATCTTTGATTTCACTTAAATTATCATCTTGATTTTCTGTTAAATATTTTTGAGTTTAAAATGAAAAAACAAGTGAAAAATTATTTAATTAAAAATCTATATAATAATTTATTACAATAGAGAGTAATTTTTCAAAATTATTGATACATTGATAGATTTTGATATTGTTTGAATAACTATAATTGTTTACTTAAAAACTTGTTTATATTTATACTCATGATAATAAATGTTATGAAACATATTTTTTTTATAAAAACATCATGATTTGTTAGTATCTAAGATTATTTAAAAGACACAACTAGTATTGATCCTCTTTGTTAAATGCATGGATGTTTTTATAGTTAAACCATTTAACCATGGACTTAAAAATTCATTTTAAGGATATTTTAATTCTAAAAATAATAGTTTTAAAATTCATTTTCAAACATGTTTATTTTTTATTTGAGTGATGTAATGAATCAAAATAGAAGTTTCGAGAATATTCGAGAAACTTCTAGAGTAATCTTTCCACATAAATAATTATTAATTTTAAATACTTTTCTGACCGACAATTATTTTATTAGTTTTTACAAATATATAGTTCATTTGGAGCAATGTTTACATTAATGTCAATCTTTTTAATTACCATAAGCTTATTTGTGGCGCCCAACAGACGGCAGGATAAAATGGTTAAATTCTTAAGAAAAACTAATTCAAGGCTATAAAAGTGTCAAAACAAAATAATTTGAAACTTTTAAAGTAGCTTTATAATCTATGTAACTGAATTAAAATTATTAAATTGCTAAATAAAAGAGATAAAACTGCAAAGAATAAATGCACTCTTATGAGGTATAAGGGATGAACCGAAAGAGTACTTGATAGTTGATAAATGAATAATATTAAACAAAATAAAAAATAAAAATTTCATAATTTTTATTTTAGCAGAAATTTAGTGGTTAACGATAAATTAATTACTCTGTATACCAATTAATTTATATTAATGAATTTTTACCTGTTAATTTATGGGATTCGCATTTATAGCAATTTTTGAATTGATTTAAACAGAAACAACAAAAGATGTGTTCACAATCTTTTTGATACAATTCAGTAACTTTAGAGCAAAAAGAGCACTCTGAAAAATTGTGTTTTTTTCATTTTATTAAATATTCTAAAATTATTAAAGATTGAATTGATACAAAAATATAAATAAATCTTACTTAAATTCTCAGATTTAACTAAAACAAAAACAAAATCATTTTGATGAAACTTTAAATAACATTGTAACTTGGTTTTAATTAACACAATAAGGGTGAAGCTGTAAAATAATCACTTTTTTTTGTATAATAATATTGTTAAAAAGATAATGAATATTTTTAAATTAGCTTGATAATTTATTTTCTGTTATTAAAGCAAGGCATTAAACTGGAATTTTTTTGTTCAGGATTTCAGAAGTTTCATTATTTTCAGTTTTAGTGTTTAATTGGGTATTGCTACGGTATCAAGTATGGGTTTTATTGAGATTTAAAACCTTGGTTGTTACATATTATATTTTATATAATAAAAGTTCATAAAAATTGCAGGAAAATATACATAAAATTGATGGTTCAAGGTTCAGTTTTATAACATTAATATATTTTTTAAATTTATTTTATATAAAATGACACGTATTTTTACCGTTGTTAATTTGTAAACGGCATTTTATGCATGTTCTGTTATTTGTTATATTTTTAACATTCAGACATTTTAAGCAATAAATATGACTACAATTCGCTTGATAAAGGTTTACATTCATCGATCCACAATCACAACATGCTAAAATTTAAACAATTAATGAGCTAAAAAAAATTATAAACTATTTTTTCTAATAGTTTCAAAAAACGTTATATCTAAAAATACTTACTCAGAGGTTTTCCTATACAACAAAAATATAGTTATAAAATTTGTTTTTAATTAAATAAAAAGCTATTGTACAATTAATTAAAGATTATGCATAGAATTATCTTTTACTAGGTGAAATGAGGAGATCAGTGATAGTAAATGAGGACGTTATAGAGGAGGAAAGTATTAAGTGTTTAGGATTAGTTGTGCAAAAGAACAGTATTGACGATATATTGAATTTCTAAGTTTCAGATTTTTATTTAAGAAGAAGTATTAGTAAATACAGTGATGTGTTAGGGAGTGAGAAAGTGGCTATTGCCCTTTCTTTTAATCCATTTTTTCTATGGACAGTATAAGCCTTGGGCTACTGAGTAAATATGTATATATTATTATTTGTATAAAATAATTTTTAGTTTGAGAGTTTCTGATGTACATATATTGCATTTAGAAAAATTTTCGTTACATATCTTACAAAACATGTGTCCACACTCTCTTTTTATGATAATTTTTTTTTCGGTACAGATTGAGCATCCTAAAAAAATCATGTTTCAGTCAACTTATATTATTGTAATTGTTGATGAATAATTTTTTTTTTGTACACCTATTCTAAGATATCTATTTTTATTTGCCAAATGCCTATATTATATTATTACTATGATATTTGAAAAAATCAATTTTTAGTAGTAAAAATACTAGTATAACAATTCTAAAATTTTTTTATAATATTAATTATGTAATATATTTAAAATATCATTAATACAGAATTATTATGTTGATTTGATAATTCTCATATTCGACCATAAATAATCGAATAATAATAGCACCAAATATTAGGTTTTTTTTGCTATTTAGCACTTACAAGCAGATTACACAAATTTTTTTATAAATTTTATAATGAAAAATAAAATAATTACTTTTATTATTGTATAAATAATTATTGTTTATTTTAAATATTGTCTTACAATATTGTGAGTATGTAATGTCATCCATGTAGTTGTATGGGCGTTGGGGAATTATTTTATACACGAGAAGAAAATTTAAATGACTAAAAATTGATTCCCTTTATTGTTTTAAAGCTAATAAGGCGAATAAAGCTTTTTTTTTTGTTTTTTATTGATCATATAAAAAAAATACGGTAGTTCATAAACTCTACCCTAATTCTTCTTCTTCTTCTACTTCTACTTGACACGATATCCCAAATCATCTACGCACACATCAGATGTCTTCAAATCGCATTCAATGGCATCCCTCCATCTCTTATTTGGTCTTCTTCTACCACTTCTTCCTTCAACATTCATTTATATAACTGTTTTTACAGCTTCCGATTCTTCTCTCCTCATAACATGACCAAACCATCGAAGTCTATTTTCTCTCATTTTATCCACGATTGACGCTACACCTATACTCCCTCTTATATGCTCGTTCCTTATTCTATCTTTTCTAGTCACTCCACTCATCAAACAAAACATTCTCATCTCTGCTCTACTTTCTTATCAACCTTCCAACACTCTGAACCATACATTATTACAGCTGACCTTATTACAGTCTTGTAGAATTTACCTTTCAGCCTCTTTAGAATTCTTTTATCGCATTAGACGCCAGACGTTTCCCTCCACTTCAACCCTCCACATTTAATTCTGTATCTTACATCCTCGTCAATACCATCACTTTTTTGCACAACTGACCCTAAATACTTAAAACTCTCCACCTCTCCAATCACGTCCTCGTCTATTGTCACTGATACTCATAAACTCTACCCTTGATACGCATATTATTTTTTATTATATTATTAAAAATTATTGATAGTATTACTAAAATATAATTTATAGGAATTATTATAATTTGTTTTATTTATTGCAATAAATAAAACAAATTACCATATCATTAACTTTGAACACTATCTAATTTAATTAATGAGACATTCAAAATTAATATTTAGAGTATATAAATTATAGTCTTAAACAAAAATTTGATTGCAAATTTACATTTACCATTGATCAATGAAATGTGCTAGATCACAATTGATTATAATAATAAACATAATATGTGGGATAATCAAAAAATCTGAAATCTACAATAAATTATTATTTTTAAACCATAGATAATAGCTATATCTTAAATCAAATTATTAAAGAAAAATGTTTAACTCAAACTCAGAACATTAACAATAATTATTTATCATAATATATTATTTATATAATAATCAGTATGTGTTTAGCGTTGATAATGATAGTATTGTTGCCGAAATACGTATCCGATATTTTTAAGTGGTTTCTTGAGTTAAATATTTTTGTTAATTTATAGTTTTAAATTAATATTTTTAATATAATTTTAATTTTAAATAACATCATTTTTTTTTATCCACAATTTTTTTTCAATGTTTAATCGAAATTGTGTTAAATTATTTTTTGCCCTCTTATATTTTGACTGGTAATGCAACTGCCACCCAGTTCCGGCGCCACTATTAGTATGTGTATTTTAATTTAAACATAGTAATATCTCATGGTTTCAATTATTAGAAAAATACTGTAGTAGTAGGAAATAAAAGCATGTATACAATTTCATACATAATTTATTATTCATAATTAGATAGATTTGTCATTTGAAGTGAAGCAAGAAAATATTTTTTTGGTCTTTGGAACTAAATACAACAGCAGAATAATATGAGGTATGAAATTACTCAAAATTAAAAGAAATTAAATACTTCCAGAACTTTCTATGCAAAATATTATATGTATAACAATTTTCAACTTAAAATATTTTCATAACTTCCAAAATACAATTTAAATTTACAATATTCTGTCGGTATTCCTGAATGGTTATTATTTGGGTACAAAATTTGCTGTAACGTTACTAATAAATTATATTGTAGTATTTAGTATATAATGTTTAAGTAATCCACCAGTTATTTTCTTAGTTTGATTATTTTCTTATTTGTATACCAGTTAAATATGTAAGTTTTAATTTAATTTTTTTTTTTGTCTTCTTTTAATTATGTAACAAAGTAGTAAAGTGTATTTAAAGTTTACTATAATAACCATACAATTTTTTTATTTAATTCAATTTAAAAAAAAAAAAGTTCTTCTAAATATTTTTAGAAATATTTAACTATTAAAAACCGTAAAGTAAATATTAAGTAATATTTAGTTAGTAACAGATGTAATTTATCACTATTATACCTTCTGATTTACTTATATTTTTACTCTTTATTAGATTCAATGCAAAATTAATAATTTTACTATGATGTTTTTGTCCTTAAAAATTAAAAAAAAATCCCTCGTTCCCTGTAAATGAGGGACATCACTGAAAAAATTACGACTTTTAATATTGATGTATTCCGCCATTTTTTAATTTTTTTTTTCTTACAATTGTTATAACTGTTTCAAAATAGATGAATTAATACAGAAATATTTTTTTAAATAACTTTGGTAATTTCATTTCTTAACATTAAACTTGACATTCTAGGAATTTTTCAACACTCTTCTTCTGGCAGTTTTATATATGGTTGCGTTTATTGTACAAATTTCAGCGTAGTCGAGTAATAATAGAACATACAACTCTTATTACAAGAACCTTAACATATTTGCAGGGGTAAATTCACGAATTATTAATTTTTCACTATAAAAGTATAACAGTAAATTTTACTACAGATAAAAACGCCATTTTGTAGCTTCGATGCAAAGCTGAGAAGCTATTGGCTTTACTAAGATGTGTTTTTTTTTTTTTTTGTGTCTGTTACCACTTTTTCTCAGCTCTAACAGAACGGATTTCTTTCAACGATACGTCAAAAGATCACAAATCGTATCTAGTGGAAGACATTACCCTCAAAAATTGAAAAAATTTCCCTCGTTCCCCGTGAATGTAGGAAACCTACAAAAAAATTACAAATTTAAAAATCACTAATTTTCGACATTTTTTCAATATTTTTTTCTTAAAACTGCCATTACTTTTTCAAAAATGAACGAATTAATATAATTTTTTTTTATAGATGATTGATGTCTTTACCTATCATTTGGTATATTTTTTTTTATATCTGACCCTTTATCTGCCCACAGGGGAGGATTTAAAATGACAACTTTTTCACAAAAAATTTACTTTTTCAACTTAAATTTTGAAAGTGTTCCGGAAAGTCTGACACTTTTATATATATCTTAAATTAAAGTTAATGTAATATACTTTATTACGCAAAAAAAAAAAATTTCGGACTTTATTTTATCTTCACGGTGAAAATGGCTACCGAATGCTATTATTGTGTGAAAATTCTCGATTTTATTTTTTACATTTTTAACTTTATAATGCTATGACATATTGAAAAGTGTATGGATCAACATTATTTTTTTATGAGAAATAATATTTTTTAATAATTCCTTTTTTATTCGACATATTTTATCTTAATTAGGATATTAATAATGAACTAGCAGATCATGTAGCTTTTGGAATAATCCACCTACTTTTTAAAATTAAACACTATCTAAAGATTTGCATCGAAACGTTTTTTTTTTTATAGTGATTTTAATCACTGTCAGATATCATTATACTTGATCCATCTATGCCACGTCACCACTGTGCCACGACCCCTCTGTGTTGGGTTTTTTTATCTCGAGAAGATATTAATTTTACTACGATGTTTTTTTTTATCTGTCGTCACTTTTCTTAGTTCTCGTCAGACAGATTTTTTCAATGATACGTCAAAATATCACAAATTATTAATTTACTATATAACTTTTTTTTTTTAAACTCCCATTACTTTTTTAAAAATAAACGTATCAAATATAATTTTTTTTTTTTAATACTTATGTATTTCTTTTTCTTTTTGTATACTTTTTATAAAAATCTGACCCTTTACCTGCTTACAGAGGATTCAAAATAGCCACTTTTTTCTAAATAAGTTAACTCTTTAACTTAAGTTTTAAAAATATTCCAAAAATATACTTAGAACTTCAAACATATATTAAAATAAAGCTTATGTTATTTACTTATTGAAAGCTATTAATAACATTAATGAATTTTATAATATCAGTTAATTCCAATTAGGGGTAGGTGTCCTTTTTGACAGTATTTACCAAACAAGCCAAAAAAATATGGAATTAAAGTATTTTCGTTGGTAGATAGCAAAACCTTTTATTTGTTATAATTTGAAATATATGCGGGGTTACAACATGAAGGTCTTTATAAAAAATTAAACACACCTTTTGATATTGTTCAACGTCTTGTTAATCCAATAAAGGTTAGTGGAAGAAATCTAACCACTGATAACTGGTATACAAGTATACCTTTGGCAAATTGGTTATTAGATAATAAAATAACACTAACAGGAACTTTACGCAAAAACAAAAGAGAAATTCCACCTGGATTTCACCCTAATAGAAAAAGGGAAGTTTATTCGAGTATTTTTGGATTTACAAAGAATATATATAAATAATTAGAAGAGGAAATAACATTCACATATCACGTAGTCTTAGACAAAAAATATGGATTTATTTGGGTAATCAAGGAATCAATAAACAACCAGTTATAAATGAAGTCGACAACGTAAGAGATTTTTAAAAAATGTAAAAGGTGTCATATTTGTCCAAGCACGAAAGACAACAAATACAGTAATATTTGTAAGGTATGTAAACAAAATATTTGTAAAATTCACTCGGTAATTGTTTGTTTAAAATGTGAAGAAAATATTTAAATTTATCAAAAATATTATACAATTATATAAAACACTACTAAAATTATATTGTACATCTTTTATACTTGGTATTAAGTTCATTATAAAAAACAAGAAAAGCAATTTTTTTTTATGTATACTTATTATGTTAAAACTATTATTCTTATTCATTAAGATTGTATCATTATTTTTTTCAATACACAAGTGAAATACAAAATTTATGAAATGAAGTTATTTTTTATTAATCAGTTTAATCCAAAATTAAGTAATACTTAAAAAATCCAAACTAAGGGTCACTATGGCCCAACGTGACTGTCTGTGTAATTATTTCATGGTGACTAGTAATTTTCTTAATTAGATAATTTATATTATGTAGTCTAGTTAAATATGTATGATGCCATGTAAATAATAAAGTTGACACTATTATAAGGTATGAGTTTAATAAAAACTTAATAATAAATAAATCGAAAAGTAATATTAAAAATACTATTACGAATATCTTAATACAATTATTAATTTAAGAGAAATCTATTGGCTTATATTAAAAGAAACACTCTGTACACTACTTAACTTATAACTTTTTAAAATGTCTCTGTAAAAATTACAATATTAATTTTTTAAATATCAATTAATATCACACTAAATTTAATTACTATAATAATTATTTATTCATGTTTTATATTAATAAATCATAAAAATTCTAATCAGGAAATAAATAAAAAATTTGGAGTTTTTATTGCTTATGGAATAATTTAATATTTCCTTCTAAAAATTAAACACTACAAATTTGCTTTAAGGTGTATTTTATAACAGTGATTATAATCACTTCAATTTTTATAGACTGACTAAATTGTAATCTTTAATCATTTTTAAAAAATTAAAATTTTACTAACATTGAAAAGATATACACTGGAAATTTCATCAGAAACAAAAAAATACTTTTCTAAATCAACTTTTCGCGATATTTTCAAATGTGCAATTAAACTTTTTGAATTACTTCTAAGTTTTAATATTATTACTTATTATCAAAAAATGAGTATTTATATATAAAAAAATAATTAAGAACAAAAAAAAATTATACCTAAGGTACTATTAAAAAAAAATTGTATTGATTCGTTCATTTTTTAAAAAATTAGGGCAATTAAAAAAAAAAATTGAAAAAATGTCGAAAATTACCGATTTTTAAAATTTTAATTTTTGGGGGTTACCCATTTACAAGGGAATTTTTTCAATTTTTTTAGGATAATGTATTCGACTAGATACGATTTGTGATCTTTTGACGTAATGTTCATCAAAATCGGTGCAGCGAGAGCTGAGATTGAATGTTCACAGACACAAAGAAAAAAAATAATAATATAAAAAAAACAACATAGTAAAATTAATACCTTCTCAGATTCGCATCAGAGCTTAAAATAGTGAAAAATTTAATAGTTAAAGAGTTGATTAGATCTGTTTTAACCTTTTTTTTTTAAATCATATGGAATATATAGCTTATATTTATTATATTAAGCTATCAATATTTTTTTAGACAACTTCTAAGATATAAGGACCTAATGTCCTTTTTTTTGATCATCACTTTGATTTTTAGCAAAAATATTCTGTAGCATGTTTAACAAAGTAAAAATATATTAAATACCCCTCCTATAATAATTTCTGAATACGCCTAAGGGGAATACCTCATTAACAAACGTCAACCTTATACCCAATACATTTTACTATATTCCCTTTTTGAATTTTCCTGATTTTAATAATTACATTTTTAATGTATTTTTGTTACACTGATTCTGATGTAATATTTTTTCAGCAAAACACTTATCGTGCCCGGCGTAACTGGGTACTCCTACCGGAATCAGTGGCCTACTTATGATGACGGGCCGAAGAGACTTACGCGCCTTTGGCGGAGTAAGACTCGTAGGCCTTTGAGTCTGACGCGGAGCCCCAGCTAGACGAAGCCTAGTTCATAATAATAACAATATAATTATCATTTTAATATTGTACAAATTATGTTTTTTATGTTTGCCAACAACATACTTGTTTATAAATATACCAAGAAATTCTTAATATGTTGATAAAACATGTTGTTTCAAATACTAAAATAAAATAATTTACAATATTAATATGTTTTTATTGCTATCTGAGAATACAATGTAGCACAGTATCCTTTGTGTATACTTAATAATAGGATTTTTGTATAATATTAAAACAGTATTGTTTTATTAAATTTGTTCGATAAAACAAAAATAATTTTATATTTTAAATTGAGTTTCAGAGATTATGAAAAATTATTTAGTTTGATTTAACGTCAAAATCAGATTGTGACCATATTTAATTTATGTTTTAATGAGTAGAAATTTATCCTATAACATTATAATGTCATTAAAATGTTTGGTTATCAATATAAGTAGGAAGTATTTATTTAAAAATTCTGTAAATAAAAATAGAGCTTTATCAATTTTACATAAATCCCTCCAATTAAATAAATGAACGTTTTGTAATTTATTCCAATACGATTTTTATTGTTATGTAATTTTATTTATTTAATATTATAAATAGAATGTGATTACCGGGCATTTCCTCGCTAAATATAGTTGGTTGAACGTTTTTGGATGTAATACTTTTGAAGTCTGTATATCCTTAAAAAAGAAAATTAGTAGCAATATTATTATTTTACTATTATCCAACTTTTTTGCTTAGATTAAAAGCTGATATATAATGAACGATAATCGTTAGATTAAAATTCCCACATGAATACAATCATTATGAATGCTAGGACTTTTCTAGATGAAAAAATATCGACATTTTTTAGTAAAACAATATTCCGTTGTAAAGAAAATCCGAAAAAATGTTACATAGTACGTGATTTCCGTTGGACTTCAATTACTGTTTACATTACTTGTAGATTTGTATAGAAACTTTTTAAGTTAATAATCATTCACAGATTTCAACTATGATGAAATCTGTGTTTTTTTCTGTGTTTTTTTTTTTCACTGTTTAAACAGTAAATTTCCGTTGTTTTTATTGAGATAATAAGTATATTATTTTAAGAATAAGTTACTATATTGGACTTGCCAATCGGGATAGTAATAACCGATAGTTTTTTTACATGGACTACTTGGTAATGTGAAAAATTATATAATTATTATCACTAATATTATAACTCTTATCGATTAATATTATGATACTCAAGATATAAAAAATAACTAAAATACTTTATCACGTCATTGGTTTTTACCTCTCTTTAATTCAATACAACAACTTGGACAATTGTCGAACATAGTTTCGCACGACTTACAATATGCATGGCCACATACCATTTGATTGGTATCCTTTATGTTTTGACAAATGTAGCATCCTTAAAAAGAAAATTAATTAATTAGCATGTTACAATTTGAAAATACTTTAGTTTTTAACTTAAGTATTACTGACGTGATACCGTATTTCCTTGAGCACAACACCCGTTTATAAACCTATACCGAAAAAAATCAGGATCTGAATCATAATTGCTTGGTGCTCAATGGTGAGATTTGTTACTACAAAGTGTTAGTTCGCGGGCTCTAATCTCGTGCGTTGTCTTTTTTTTCACATGATTTCCAGTACGCTTATGATGGTCGGCTGTCTACCCCAAGCGGCAGTTTCAATTGGCTCCCCGACGAAGAATAATAATGTCCGGAATTCTTATTGTTAGTGTAGCAATAAGTCTCGGCCGGCAATAGAACTTCCGAAGGGTCACTATCGTGGAGGTAACACAGGGGTCGGTTCCTCCCACCAATTATAGTACCTCCGTATGCGGCTTGGCTGAGGACAATAACATTGCACCGTGTTTCCCTCAGCCGCACACAACGTTATAAACTTACATGGAAGTGCATAGGGATCTCAATCAAAGTATGCTGTGGCTAAGCGAGAAAAGTAATCAGAATCCAATATGAAAAAGCCAGATTCAAAATTTGCGTTCACTAGTGTTATTAATGTTTGAGATTTTAATTTAAAAGAAAATGACATTTGAATTTTTAACAAAACTTTAATCATTTATTAGATATAATACTCTCAACATTTTCAATTAATATACATGTATAACATACGAGGGATTAAAATTACAAGTAACTAATTGGTTTTTTATGATATTGCTAACACAGATACGGAATGTTATTGTCAATTATGACTATTGACAGATATGCTTTCTGTATTGCCAGTTGGTATATTTATAAATGTTTACTCACAACGATGTGCCTTACGACCACACTTTAAGTATATCTGTTGACAAAGTCAACCAATTTACCATAAATGCTGCGTATCTACCAATAGCGACGTCATCAAAAAACAATTAGCTACCTGTAATCCCACAAATATTATGCATGTATATTGAATAAAAAATTTAAAACATAAAAGTTATATACCTAATAAACAAGTAGAGTTATTTTAAAAGCACAAATTTAATTTACTATAAAATAAAATATCAAACATTTTATTAAATTCAAAATATATGTTCCCATTTGAAAAAACAAAATTGATACCCTTAAAAAATATAAAGTATGAACCTCAAAAGTATTACATAGCTAATAATTCAAAAATAATATCTAACTAAAGATATCCGAAAAATAAAATTTTTAAATTATTTTTATTCTATGAGTAATTGAGTGAGTTATGATAAAAAATCACTCTGTATAATAAGACATATTATAATATGCTATATATATATGTATAAGACTAAAAAAGATTAGGGAAATTTGTTTGAATAATAACTTAAACTAAAATCATTTTATAAGATACTATAAACGACTTTTATAAAAATTTGAAAATTATATTGAATAATTATTTCGATGTAAATGTTTTAATTTATTTTCATTAATGTATATTTTTTTAAATTGTAAGTAAATATCTAAAAATATATTATTTTAGCATATTATAGAAATATTTTTAGTAAAATATTTCTTATTTGTTCTCTCTAATATATTTTCAAAATATACTTAAATAATATTTTTAATTATATTTCTTAATTACATATTTATTTGTTCTTAAAGTTTTCTATTTATTTTTATTTTTTATACAACTGGAATGTTTAAAATCTATACTAGTTTGTATAATAAGTTACTTTGTATTTCAAAATATAATATTTGCCTTTTATTATATTATAATATAACTTTATAATTTGACTCATTATTATTTTATAAGAATATTGTGATAATATTAATATATTGAAATTGCTATGTTACAAACAATGAGCATTTTGTAATATTGCTAAGAATTGTTTACCAACCTCTATAATATTTGATTTCTGTCATTTTACTATTTTTATATTTTTTGTTCAACGAGGCTCTAACAAATTCATTTACTTACCATATAGCAATTTGTTAAAACCTCGTAGGACTCTACATAATATTGGTTTTCAAAGAATTAAGTAGATATTTGAATTTAATGATATTTTTAAAAAATCTCACCAAAATTATTTATGGAAGTATCTTGTGGGTTAACTAAGAAAAAAAAAATTAAAAATTATAAATGACTTAATAAATCATTTAAAAATTTTATATTTAGACAAGACAGTAGGTTTGAGTGTATGCTGCACTATGTCCAATAAATATCTTGTTGTCTTTTGTGCTAATAATATGAATGTTTTAAGTCATTTATAAAAGTTCCCTGTAGTCATTCATTCCAGAGTCAATAAACACTGGCGTAATTTAATTTTAAGAATGAATAGCAAATAGTGAATTTGCTGTACTACAGTAATTTCCTATGATTTAAATACAAAATATTAAATATTTATTACTTGTTAGTATGACATTACACAGTACCATCAAAGTTATTATTCGGAAAATCATACTCTGAAAACAATTGAAAACAAATAATATTGGTATTAGACAAAAAAAAAAAATTACAATTAAAAAAGATTTATATATTTTTTAATTTTAAACTATATAATTAATCTTGAAACATAAAAAGTTATTGCCAAGTTAAATTTTCTACATAAAAAATATAAAAGTAATATTTTTAAGGTTAAAGTAAAATATTTTTTAAATTTATTTAAAATTTAGCCGAAGATATTTTGTGCTTACGGTTAATGAATTGTTTGATCAATGAACTAAAGTAAAGCTAACGCATCTGGCGTTTGTTTAAGAAAAATAATTACTTTGATGTTGAAAAAGAACTAAAAATGTTCGTCATGTAGGACGTTTTTCCTGAAAACGAAAAATAAACAATTCTTGTTTTAAATTAACACTTATATACATACTTACTCCAGTATTTAAATACATAATTCGATAAAAAATAAAATGTTATTAATAAAAAATAAACAAGTATGCATAAAAATATAAGTATACAAATTTTGAACACACAAAGTATTNAAAATGTTATTAATAAAAAATAAACAAGTATGCATAAAAATATAAGTATACAAATTTTGAACACACAAAGTTTTTTGTTTCAGCGCAATGATATTTGAAAATAAATTTTGATTTTATTTTCAAAATATATTTACACTATTTTATCATTTTTAAATTAATTTATACGTGTCATGCATATTTTGTTTTTAGACTTGCCATAAATTATAAAACTTGTGAAGAAATCTCTATATAAAATATATTTCCCAAAATTATCATTAGGAAAAATATTAAAAAAAAAATAGAATTGTGGTCTCGGTATTTAAACACTTAATTACTGAAGTTGATATTATTTTTAATTTTTATGGCATCATTAGGAAAATGGCAGGGTGGGGATTTGTCTACTATAGGAAAAGCATGTCATAGCATGTCCAATTCTAAATATAAAGTATCGGTTTTGTCAGATTGTGTATGCTTATAATTGTTATACTGTACATAAAAATGATTAAAAAAAACTTTAAATATATTTTATAATACTGATCAAAACTGATAAAAGCACAATAATGAGGTCATACATTTTTTTCGGATTAGTAATATTTTTGTGTTTTCATTAGTTTGTTTTACGGTATTAAAGCATTGCAAAATTAATTAAAAATATATAATTAATAGAGAAGTGCAAAATTTACAACTATTTGAAAAAAATTATTTTAAATATCTGATAAATGTATTTAATTAAAACAATTAAAAATATCTTTTTTCAGAATATTTTGTTCTGTTATAAAAATAAAATACCACATTAGTTCTTAAGTAAAAATATAAATATTTTATTAACAAACAGATTTAATAAGTCCGAATGATTCGATAGTCAATAGTACGTATATACAATTTAAATAAATTAAAAATCTATCATTATTGGTTCTACGAACAATTTTATTTCAATAACATATCAAAATGAGCTTATAAATATATCCTGATTTTTTTTTGGTGCTGTACGACATAACGATAAAATAAACAAATATAAATATGTATGTCGGTCAGGATACCGAATTCTTTCTAAAATAATTTAAAAAAAATGTATGTAACACATAAATTAAATTAAATAATTTTTGTAATTGCAACACTTAAGGCACGCATTTATAAAATGTTGTAACTAAATAAATTTAGTACCCGTGATAAACATAAAACAATACAATTAAAAATAAATTATGAACATTTTTTTACAAAATGTTTAGTTTTAGCGACAGATTATTCTTAAAATAATATAAAAATTCATAACAGTTTTATACAAAAATATAATAGAAATAATGTGCGTATATCTATTTACTAAATAAATTTCATACATTTTTTGTATTTGGAGTACATTTGTTTTGATGTTAATTCTTTATAATACATTTTATACTAAATAAATTTTAATTTATAAAAGGAACTTTGGAATACTTATATGTAAATTTGTTTGACAAGCAAAATAATATTTTAATTTTACCAATATTTTTCCATTTATGTGTATTGGTAGGATTATAATAGTTGGAAAAAATAATTAATCTATTGAATAATGCATTAGTCTTAAAGTGGATTCATTTATTATTGACTTGTAGTCCTTGATTTTTTCCAATCGTTAAATATTAAGTAAACTCCAGCTGCATACACAACGACATTAATCAAGCCAAAGATCTATAATCAATCATTAAAGATAACTATTTATGAAATATATACTGATATTTATGTTCATTAACATGTAGCCAATAGTTATATAGATCACACGTTCTAATATTATAAAATAAAGGAATTGAAGATAAAAAAATTTTAAGGAATTTAGCATGAATTGATAATGCGATGTGATATCATTAATTTTCATATGGTGTTATATTTTTTTGTAAAATTTGATATGTTTGTTATTCAAAATAAATAAATAAATATTGATTTAAAAAAAACACAGCACAGTTGGGACATATCATTGTTAGGACAATTAAAGATGATATCTGATAGTGATTAAAATGGCTATCATAAAAAAACGTTTCGATGCAATCTGTATAAAGTATTTAATTTTAAGAATGATTTATTGGATTATTCTAAAAGCAACATTCATTTATTTATATCCTGATTATAAGTATAATACATGAATAAATACTTATTACATACTTAAAGTATTTAAATTTAGTGTGAAATTGATATTAAATAAATTTTGGTTTTTTTTTGTTACTTTTTACTAACTATTGGCATTGTTTGAAGAACCAGTAATACGATTTTAACTCTGGGNACTAACTATTGGCATTGTTTGAAGAACCAGCAATACGATTTTAACTCTGGGCGCACACAACACATAATAATGAAATTTAATAAAAGAAGAGCAAAATAAGTCATTATAACGTTTATAAATAATTGTATTCCAAATATAATGGTAACATACACATACACACACACAAAATAATAAAATAATCAATACACGTTCAATAACGCTCATTCGAATACAAAAATTAAAATTTTTAATTGAAAATTAAAAATAAATTCGTTTATTCTTAAAAAAAGTTATGGGATTTTTAGAAAAAAAAGTTACATAGTGGATTTTTTTCAATTTTTAAGGGCAATGTGCAACTAATTATAATTTGTGATATTTTGACGTATCATTGAAAAAATCGGTCTGACATGAACTAAGAAAAGTGGCGACAGATAAAAAAAAAAAATCGTAGTAAAAATATACCTTCTCGAGATAAAAAAAATGGCGTTTTTATCTGTAATAAAATGTACTGTTTTACTTGTATAGTGAAAAATTAATAATTCGTGAATTTACCCCTGCAAATATGTTAAGGTTCTTGTAATAAGAGTTGTATGTTCTATTATTACTCGACCACGCTGAAATTTGTACAATAAACGCAACCATATATAAAACTGCCAGAAGAAGAGTGTTGAAAAATTCCTAGAATGTCAAGTTTAATGTTAAAAAAGTAACTTGAATGCGGATAATATATAAATACTTACTGTAAGAATCCAATTGATCGGAAAATTTATGGCTTCTCTGATAGACAAAAGGTAAATGAAAGACCAAATTGCAGTGGCTATGAAGCTAATAATAACCACAAATAAAAACCAATTCGTACCTGGTAGTCTAGCTGGCGAGGCCAACGCTAAACAAATGATGCCTATAATCTGTAAAAAATAAATATCCATGTATTACATGTTTTTTATTTTCCTTAATATAATATTTTGTAAAATTCTACTCATTAACTACTTATTATTTTNAATCTGTAAAAAATAAATATCCATGTATTACATGTTTTTTATTTTCCTTAATATAATATTTTGTAAAATTCTACTCATTTACTACTTATTATTTTAGATGATATTATAACATAACTAAAAGTAACCTAGAAAAAAATAGAAACAAGGACATCATTTTTCTTTTTTAACCATAAATAGTTTAAGGGACTCAAAAATATATAAAGATTTTACCATAACTGATATCTCACAAATCGATAGACTAGTGAAATTAATATTTAGTAAAGTTTCAATTATTTTTTTTAATTGTAGAAAACTCTAGTTATTTAAAATTTTAGTAAGCAATAAATTAATTATTGTATTGAATTATTTTTTAGATTTTTCACAGTTAATTTTTGTGAGTTTCTTATTCAATGTGTTACTTTATGAGAATTTTACAATTAATTCTTTGAAATCAAATCATATACACAAAAAGTAAAATAACAATAGATGTGTATTTTGTATGAGTATGTCACTGTAAAGTAACGGCTCTTTTGAAAACGTATAGGTAATTAAAAATAAGTGTACGTACTATGCATTGTAATGCAATATGCATTAGTAAAATATGGACTAAAACTTTGAACGGTTACTAATAAATTCATAGGCATATTGTTAAGCCAAAAAATTAAAACGTTCTCATAATAATATGTTCAACAGCGTTTAAACAATAGCTTTGTAAAAAATAAAAGACAAGTTCTACACATCAATCGAATCCATAATTTCTAAATACTACTATTGAGTCATTTAAAGTGCAGTATGTCGTGCGATGTATCAAACATTGTTTTAAATTTAAGCTATGGTGTATTGTTTTTATTTTATAACTTACTATTCTGTTCAGTTTTAACGTATAGCTGAATTTGACCGACAAAACACGACAAAAGTACCGTTTTGTTACATTTACGTACTCATAAATATTTATACTACATTTAATGTTTACAAGGTATTCAAAATAGAAAACTATGCCACGTGTTATTTAAACTTAGGATTGTGCGACATTTTAAAGTGTTTTTTCTATTGATTATTTTAGGTATTATTATTTTTCCTTAATAAAATTGGTACATTTAATTTTTTACTAGGCTTAAGTATACAGAATAAATTTATTAACACTAGCCACTCATTTTCTCTTAAAATAATAATTTTTTGCGAATTTGATTTTTGTAAGTTTTACGTGTATCTAAATTTATTAATCATAAAAAAAAATTTGTTCAACCCTTACATCTTATAAAGGTATCAGATTTATTAGCTTCGATGCGAAGCTGAGAAGGTATTAATTTTACTATGATGTGTTTTTTTATTTTTTTATTTATTTTAGCTTCGATGCGAAGCTGAGAAGGTATTGGTTTTACTATGTGTTTTTTTTTTTTTTTTTTTTTTTTTNTTTTGGAGATTCACCCCATTTACGGAAAACGGGGGAAATTTTTTTAATTTTTTAGGGCAATGTCTTCAACTAGATACGATTTGTGATCTTTTGACGTATTGTTGAAAGAAATCGGTCCAGTGAGAGATGAGAAAAAGTGGTATCAGACACACACACAAAAAAAAAAACACATCTTGGTAAAATTAATATCTTTTCAGCTTCGCATGAAGCTAAAATGCAACGGGTTTCTTATAATTTTATTAGTTTATAAAGATTTATTTATAAGATATTAATTTTGATATAATTTCAATTACAATTTGAACTAAATTTTTTTTTCTTTATGTTTTTTGTCTGTAACCTTAACTTGTCAATCATCTCCGTAAATATTATAACAATATTTTTATTAACGTTTTACTTTATATTCACAAATCTTAAATTCAACTCTAATCTTAGTATATGCAATAATCTAAGAACTATCGCCTCGTTGGTCGTCTATTATTAGGGTACTCGCAGTTATAAATGAAGGCTAAATGTTTTACAGTGGAGTATCATACTGTGACTTGAAAAAATATTTTTAATTCTCAAGGACAAAGATCATGAAATTAGTTTTTGCATATGTTTTTTTCTTAGACATCAGTAATAATTATGCACTACATTCGTACTCATAAATATATTTTACTTTATTAGAGTAATTAATTATTTTTAACAGTAATGACGCAATTGGGAAAATTATTATTTTGATCTAAAATTGAATAGAAATTTTTTGTTTTAAACTATGAAAAATAATTTTGAAGTTAGATGACGCGAATAAAAGAAATTATGATTAAATAAAACGTTACAAAATTATATTATTCAATATTAATTGTATCAAATATTTGTAAATTCCATAATTCAGTTTCCTATGTTATGAGTTGGGAGTTTTTTGTTAACTCAGTAATGGATGCAATAAGTTAATTTACATTTTATTAGCTGTCAAAATTGAAACATTTAGCAGAGATAACGTTTTATATACACTAATATTGACGGAGTCTAAAAATAGTATTGAATATAATGTTAGTGGCATATTTTGTGTAATATTAAAATCGTATGGAACTATAAAATCTATATTACTTATATTTAACACGCTTTAAATTTATAAAAATAAGACCTATACGGTTATAAACAATGGCAAAATTAGAAATTTTTAATGTTTGGGGGGTCACAAAAAATATTCATGAATAAGGTACGATAAAACGACTTTTTTTTTTGCTCATAACTTATAACACATATTTTAGATATTTTTGAAAAAAAATCTGTTATTTGTTTTGAATCCATTTTTATCAATAAATATTATTATTTTCATATAATGTGTGTTTCTATGTAATAAACACTTCAAAAATAGGTGATAACATTAACGGGACAACTATGCGGGCGTCAAATTTTGCTTCACAAAACAACTACATCGATTAACATTTCATAAACCCATGTTATTATCGATAACCTAAAATTAACTTTTTCTAATTATATTATACATTATTACATTGCTTGATAAAATATTTACATAACTCAGTCAATGTGGAGGGACACGTGCCCCTGTGCCCCCCTCTAAATACGCCACTGGTTATAAATGTTATAGCGTTAAGCAGTTTTGACGGTTATTCTATTATCAACGATTTAATTAAAATTAGTTATAATTAATCGTTTACTTTCAACTATAGGAATATTGGTGTACATAATTTAGCATTAAAAAATGAAAGTACTTTCAGCTTACTAACCCGATTTTTTGCTAACTGCCTAAATATGGAAAGACAAGTTTTTATGTGTTAGAATTCAACTGTTTTTAATAATCACAAAATATACTCATTCGTTTTCAACTAGGTAATGTTATCATTTCAAAATGATGTATTTATCTGTGTTTTATTGAGTTTTGCATTGAGCATAGGAAATGACACATATTTTATGGTGGCTAATGGCGTAACTGAACCCTTCTCAATAGGTATATTTAAATAACAATTATCTTATCATAAAAAAATAAAAGAAACTCGGCTTGATAGCAAACAACAATAATGTACTATGTAAATTTACATTAAGTAACCGTTCCTATTCGTTTGTCACAGGAACTTGGACACATATCGCGATTTATTTGTCGTTGGTATTGAGAAGTATTGACTTTTCCCATGTTTGATATTGTAGGTGTGCGAAGAGAATACCATTTTATAAAATTATCAGCGATTGCGACGTGTTCTGAAGGAATAATCGCGAGACAGTTGAGGACGACTGAAATAGTCCATTTAACGGTTCGTTCAAAATGAATGGAAAAAATATTACGCTTTGAGAATAATCGATTAGCAGCGTGTTAAGATTGAGTCTATGAAATATCGACTTTGCACGATGAATTTTTAACCAGAAAAACAGACAGACTACTGTTAAGACTATTCTATTGGGGTTAACGTGTCAATATTTCATCATATTTTCTTCTGTTATTGATTAATAAAAATTTACATTTTGTTTCACTGTGCGAGTATGCACAAATATTTTTATAGAAGAAGAATCGTTTACTTTTGTGATATATCTATTTTGAATCGCAAAATTATTAAAAATTTCACATTGACATAAATGTATGTTGATAAAAAAACGAATTGTGTTAAAATTTTTTTTTCAAGATAAAACTCATTAGTAAAAAAAATGTATCTTTTATAATATTTTTTAAATAGACGAAGGGTAAATTGTAGAAGCGGGTCCCCTATGTCCATGAATTGTAGTAGAATGGAACGAGTCTTTTGCGTGTAAACATTTTACAAAACGCCTGTATTGTAAATACTGACATATTTTTTACGATCAATTGATTAAAATGAAAACATAAAACTAGAATAAAAAGAGTGAATCATACATGTATTTATTTTTTGTATAATAATCTTTAATATAGTAATATTATTTAATAAGAATTTTGAATAAGTCTTTACGAATTACTTTAAAATTATATATATATTTTTAGAATATATAATATGATAAGCACTCGGTATTTAAAAATAAGTGACGATTGAAGGGAACATAAAATATGAACCGATTAATTTTTAATAACATGTAATTGGTCCATTTTATATATAGTATATTATAGTAAAGGTGTTTTTTCAAGGATGACTTTAAATTGTATTTATATTTATTTTTAAAGAGAATTTCAAAAAGCTTCTTATAAATACAATAAATAATTTTTCCTAATTGTTGACAATTTTATAGAAACGTGTCAAAAAAGTCATTAGTAGAAAATTCTATACTCGCTTTTGTTAAAAATTACTAATTATGAGAAGTTCTGAATAATTCTTAGGATAGTAATAACAGCAATGATCATAATTTTATCATTGTTATAACAATTTTTTATTATCGAATTAGTTTTTATTTGAAAAACTGTTTATTGACTCTATTGTACCTCAAAACTTGATTAACATAATTCCAAAAATTATGATTTTCAGGTTTGTGTATTTTTGTGTGTGAAATTAGATTTTACATGGATTTATATCAACGGTTTTTGTTATCAAGGAACCTTTAATATTGTATCAGTGTTATAAAAGGTGAAGTTTTAACTCAAGTTTGTACCAAACAAACGTAACTCGAAATGATATACAAAAAAATTTACCATTTAGATTTTTAAATTAAACCAGTAGTATTAGCATGATAATTTTGATTTCAATGTCTATAGCTATTTAAATAGTTACATTTTTGTATTTTTAAGTTTTCCTAAAAAAATTGACAAAATGTTACCTACGTTAGTCTAGTCCTAAGGTACAATAAAGTCTTGACGTCTGACACTATATCGGGAAATATCATTACACAAATATATTCATATTTTCCGCACTTTAATTGTTATGTACGTGTAACTTTAACACTCCTACCTGTGCTTTAAACGTGGGCAGTTCTATATTTATATATTTTGTAAATACCGCAATTGGAATTTTTTCGGTTGTTTTCCTCATACATTCGTGTACCTTGCAGCTATTACCGGAAGTACAGTAATAGGCAATGACACATGCAGCTGTTTCAAGTTGTATAGGAGTCTCTTATCACAAATTCCAAAATAATAAAGTGTGATAGATCATCGGGAGCAAGGCTTACAAGAAGTGTTTAAATTAGTCGTTATCTTAACCATTAGATGAACCTTAAAGTCTAATGTTGCATATTCTTATTTAGTATTATCATGAGACGTTAATCAGAAAAAGTTTATGTTATTATTGTTTTCAGACCATTTATAGAGGTAACTAGTATGAATACTAGGAAGTTGGTCGGAAATTGGTTTAATTAATGACAATTATAACGTTTACTCGAGTGATTAGCGACGTTTGTAACAGTAGTATCATTTGAGGAATGTAATGAACGTTTACTGTTAAGTTTTTTAATGAAGCAACAGGATGTGCGCTATCGTCTAAGTAACAAAAAGTAACGTTGGAAGGTCGTTGTCGCCCTTGTCCGTTCGTCCTACATTTTTTTACTGCTATAGGCCGCTTCTAAATTTTAGTAGGTGAATACTGCGTGGGTTATTCTACAATTCACGTAATACGTTTTTTAACAGCATTATTTTCAACATCGGAATAGTGACTAGTCATTTATGATTCTGTTATTTTAGTTCTAATTTAGGCAATATGAAAGTTATTCCTTAACGGTTAAATAATTCTATAGTTTTTATTTTGTAATTTCGTTCAAATATTAAGTGTATTTTCTATAACGCAAACCATATTACTCATCATATCACCAGTGGAATTATTATTAATAATGGACAACTATTTTAATTACTCAAATAATTATTTTTGCAAAAATAAAGTAATCCTTCGATTTACATATAATTATGTAACTAGTTGATTATTTGTCTATCGAATAATACTAACTCAAGTATGCATTTTTCAAAGAAAATAAAAAACACATAACATGGGGTCATTAAAAACCGCAAATCCACTTTAAAGTTAGTGTTTAAAATCATCAAAATAAATAAATTACGGTTTAATTTTTAATCGACCATGAAACTATTAAAATATTTGAAGAAATTGGAGTCTATTAAGAAAATTTACCTATAGGAAATGGTATATACTAAAATGCAATAAATCCAAAAATTAGAAAATTAAAATAACTTAAGCCAGAGACAATTTTTAAAGAAAACAATGACTAATATTGTTTACAAACTGAATTATTTATACACATGGACAATTGGGGCGTTTATTTTTAGTCATGTTTCACGATCGTTCATGGACACGCAGATGTGATTTCGCCTGCTGTTCAAGATACTCCAAGCGTTAAAAAATTAGTGCATTTTTTTTTATCCATTAGACACTTAGGCCATTATACTAATTTTTATCTTCAAAATAAATTTCGTGTTTTCTGGCTAACAATGATTAAACGAAGTATTATTCTTAAAATTTTTTTTAACAAATTATAGACGTGTCATCATTTATCAGTATGAAAACTGTAAAAAAGTTATTTATTATACTGCGATGACGTCGCATTTGACAAGTGATTCCTGGATAGAAAAATATGTGATTTATATTGTTTTGTTACAGCCTTGTATTCTAAAGGTGTGTCGAACCTATTTTGATGAGATAGCATTGTTGTACGTAGAGCAATTCTCCAGTTCACGGGTAAATTTTTTGCGTTTTAAAATTTTAATAAGAAAATTGAACTTATTATGTAACTTTCTGAATGAATATCTATAAATATAAAAATTATGTGTGAACGAATAAATGTAAATTAGTATAATTCCATGTGGAAGTTTTGATAGTATTTATTTTAATCAATTTAAATGCAAAAAAAGTATATTTTCTAGAAAAATTATAAATACTTTTTTGCCATACGTTATGTTATTAAAAAAGTTAACAGTCACAGAATTGGTTTTACAACGAATAATAGAATTTTTTAATTATAATACCGAAAAACAGTTACTAATTTATAAATATAAATATCTGAAAAGGTATCTTTTCAGATATTTTTAAGGTACCATACTCTCTTTCTCTCTGTGCTCATGATTACTACAATATTTAAATATTATACTTTAATAAGTTGTTGTTCTACAATACACCTGAATGGAGCAGAAAATAATAAAAATAACAATAGGTATATATTCAAATATTCCCTTAAGAAGTTTATAAGAAATAATAAATACATTATGTGTATACAAAAAAAATATTTTTTTACATTTATATGGTGTCTTGTTAAGACTAATTCATGCTGTATTAAAATAATATTGTAATATTTCATTGATAACAACTTACCAGTTGAGCTAATTTTAATATACCCGGTAATGTCTTGAAGTAATTGTAATTGATTTCCACCCAGGTAAATAAGTTATGTACATTAACATTTTCTGTGCCGGGTTTTCCCGGCTTGGGATCTTGATTTTGTACGTTGATTACAGTTTCAGTCATTTTATCGTATAAAACTTTATTTTTATATTGATTTTCAATTCGAAATTAGCAAAATTTTACAAAAAAAATTAGAAAAAAGTAGCGCACGGCTGCGATTATTGAGGCACAGACTAGTTGTGAATGGACATCATTTTGGCATCGTAGTCACTGCTACTTGTAGTCGGTTGCATAAAGCTTAAGAGAGGGGTATAGTTGACTAAACAGTTAGACTTAAAATGGTTAAATGAATTATTTTTCTATCTTTTGATGGTTGCATTATTCAATACATTTTTATTTACTCATACAATATTAATAATCATTAATATTACAATATTACTTCACATTTCAAACTTTTACGCTTTTAAAACTACTATATAATTTACAGGAAAAAAAAATTTAAGTTTCAATGATTTTCAGGCTATTTACGTTAATTAAATTATCACAAAAAGTATTGAAGTTACAAAAATGTATTTAGAAGATAATCTTTTGTAAATCGATAAGTGTCTAACATTTCGATAGTTGCTATTAATATATGCACAGCATCCCAATTACAAAATTTGCTGTTTTCAAGTGTGGTAGCAAGTTTTTGTGATAGTTAATCCTCTGTTGGTTTCGAAAAATTTTATAGATGGTCCAGTTTCATACTCAAATACGGTATCGACTTCATCATCACAGAATGAATTTCAGCTAAAATAAATAATAATTTAATTAAGCAAATATAATTTTTTAGCTTCGATGCGAAGCTGAGAAGGTATTGGTTTTACTAAGATGTGTTTATTTATTATTTTTTTTTTTTTGTGTCTGTTACCACTTTTTCTCAGCTCTCACCGAACCGATTTCTTTCAATGATACGTCAAAAGATCACAAATTGTATCTAGTCGAAGACATTACCCTCAAAAATTGAAAAAAATTCCCTCGTTCCCCGTAAATGGGGGAAACCTCCAAAAAAATTACAAATTTAAAAATCGCTAATTTTCGAAATTTTTTCAATTTTTTTTACTTAAAAGTGCCATAACTTTTTCAAAAATGAACATATCAATATAATTCTTTTTTATATAGATGTGTAATATCATTACCTTTCGTTTGGTATATTTTTTTCATAAATTTAACCCTTAACCTGCCCACAAGGGGGGATTTAAAATTACAACTTTTTCACAAAAAATTAACTTTTTCAACTTAACTTTTGAAAATGTCTGACACTTTTATATATATCTTAAATTAAAGCTAATGTACTTTACTTTATTATGCAAAAAAAAAATTTCGGACTTTATTTTATCTTCACGGTGAAAATGGCTACCGAATGCTATTATTGTGTGAAAATTCTCGATTTTATTTTTTACATTTTTAACTTTATAATGCTATGACATATTGAAAAGTGTATGGATCAACATTATTTTTTTATGAGAAATAATATTTTTTAATAATCCCTTTTTCATTCGACATACTTTATCTTAATTAGGATATTAATAATGAACTAGCAGATAATGTAGCTTTTGGAATAGTCCACAAATTTTTTAAAATCAAACAGTATCTAAAGATTTGCATCGAAGCGTTTTTTTTTGATAGTGATTTAATCACTGTCAGATATCATTATACTTGATCCATCTATACCACGTCACCACTGTGCCGCGACCCCCCTGTGCTGGGTTTTTTATATTGAATTTAATACTATAAATAGTAATGGCGATTCTACTAAGTACTAGTAAGTAATACATAAAATAATTAATGTAAAACCTTTGTTATTATTATTATATAAAAATGTTTCTTGAACTTTTTGTCACTTGTAAAATATTACATTTTTTATAATCTATAGTAAATTTCCTTTGAATTAAATTGCATATACAATAATTTTGTTTGTATTTATTTAAAATGAAGGAAATATCACAGATATAGTATTTTAAATCCTGATATCCTTCAAAATATATATAAATACTGTGCATTTATATTTTTGTCATGCAGTGTATTAGTTTTTTAATTTTTATAAAATTTAACAAATAGATTTTTTAAATTTTTACTGAAATGAAATATTTAAATTGAAATATTATAATGGATTTGTTGTTGCATTTTTTATTAATCTATGGTTTTTATTGAATATTTTTGAATGATTAATAATGAATGAAGATCTGAAATTTTCAATAGCACCATCTTTTTAAACGCTAAAAATATATATAATTAAATACTAAGATTTCTATTATGATTATTTATTACGATATAAATGCAAAAAAATTGTGATTTAAAAAAATTTTTATTTTTATTTGTTAATTCATTTTTAATAGTAATTAGATAATTTCCTAAAATTTTTTTTTAATTATTTGTTTAATAATTACTAAATTACTGTAATAACTGTTTTGAGAATATTCTCAAAAGACGAGATTATTATATTTAACTTGTTTTTATTGCATTTTACATTATTTTTAAATTTTCTTCAATTTGTTAACAAGTATTTAATTCAATACTTACAAATGTATCTATTTAGCTTCAAATATTTCGATAAAATGAAGTTGAATTTATAGTCTACTCCAAATAAATAGATTAAATATTTAGAAATAACCAAATGTATACTTGTCTACCAAGTTAAGACTATTTTACCATATTTATATAGAATATTTTTTTTGACAGGAAATTTTCGTATGCATTTTTACTAAAACTATATTTTGGGAGCGATTTATTTTTAGTCGTTTAACAATAAATCAAGCACTAAAAAGCCATAAAAATACAAAAACATTGAAATTCCAAAACTTAGACAACACTCATTATTATAAGTCTAACTTTTATTTTCGCCGTATTTTAGCTGTGAAGTTTATTTCCGTAATAATATAATTTTACTACCAGGACAGGAACCATAGATACATTATAATTAATGAATTAAAAAATATTGACGAAAATAAAACGCATATCATCCAGACCGAAAAAACAAAAAAAAGGAGAAAGGTGTTAACTTGTTAAACAAAATACTTTGAATTTGCTTAATGTCTAAAATAGTGGAAAAATATTTATATTTTATTTGCCCCCCTTATTTCGTGATCTATTTGAATAAACAATTAATACTGTAATTGTTTCGTACGAAGTAGCTAGACCGTAGGACAGCTAGTAGTGCAACGAATTAGAATGCCGTCTTACCTTAAGCCTGTTTTAGTCGCTATTATTGAAGCGGGAGAGAGGTCACCTGGGAGGATCCACTAAGTAACGAGAGTAGAAAATAATTAAATAACAAATAACTACACATATTAGAAGTTTTTCAAAGTGTATCTTAAATTTAAGGGGTAACGGGGGACCTTTAAATACTAATGACTGGTGAAGCGGTTGGGTTAATAAAGCAAAATAGTAAAACTCAATTAAAACAAATAATAAATAACATTTAAAAATAATATAAAACTCAGTTGAATAGATGAAGTTGATAGTAGTGAGTGGACTGTATGAGATCTTGTGGTGATGGTGTCAAACATCTGAATATCACGAGTCAGAGTATAGATCCAGGCACGTGATAGCAGATGAAAACAGACGGCGGAAAAGGATCGATTTGCTGTGCAAGGTGGGCAAGGGGGTGAGTAAAGCAAAAACGCTAGAAATCAGCTGTCACACGATATAATGTAATCAACTGTGTTTGTGACAATTAGTCCATTAAGTCTTTGCAAAGGCATTCTCTATTAAACAGTAATATTTATAACAAATACATAATTTTTTTTAATTAAAAATATTCAGTAGATTGTATGAAAATGAGTGTTTATCTCGATCACCTTGTATATAGTATACAGAGTGATTCCTTAACTATGCATTATGATATATTTTCAAAATTATTAAAGCTAATCAAATTTTTTGTAACAATAATGGCTCTTTGTTGAGCTGCTTTATATGAAAAACTTTTAATGTTTCGGTTATTAAAGAAGTATAAAAAACACTGAATATATGTTAAAGAAAAATGTAGGATATTTATCTTATAATACTGTTATACCAGTTAATTGTTGTATTTTTGCGCCGCTATATATTGTATCATAGATAATCTAGAAATTTTATTTTAGAATGTTCGAGAACCTTTGTGCGTATATGCATTTTTTGTTGCCTATTCGTCACGAAGTTTCTAGATTATTTCATAATCGCTTCGAACTCATTTATTGGTATCACCCTGATACCTTAAACTCTTATCAGTTTTTAATTTACCTAAGGCAACCCTATTTTTTTTATATTGTCGGATTTTTTTAATTGAAAAAATACATTTTCTTTTTGAAAATTTGTTTTGATTTTTTGTTTTGTTTTGAATGTTTGAATTTGTTTTTATTTAATTTGATTTTTAACGAGTTATAGTTGTAAAAAATTTAGGGGTGATCAGAGAAAATGTGTACTTATTTATAAAAGACGACATATTTATTGGGTTTAAAATTGATAAGTGCTAACGATTCATAACAATGTTATGATACCCTGGAATTGCGAAATTTGTACGCAAATTAATATTTAAATATTAAATATCATATTTTATGAGTAGGTTATATCTATAAATGTATGTTATATAAATACTAGGTTACTCAGTTAAATAAAAATAAGTCTAATGATTTTACGAAACAAAGATATCATCAGTAATATAAATAAAACAAAATTGTCAACTATAAATAAAAAAGTAGCAATTGTAAAATCAAAAGTCTATTTTATCAATGTTTAAAATACAAAAGTAAATAACAATAAAAATTGACAATAAAACTATTTCAAATTATGCGCAACTCTTTTTAAAATTCTAGTTGATTATTAATACTAGTGGCACTATCATCGGAATTCTTCTTTTATTATTACGACCTATGTAACCTATAATAAACCAAAAAGAAAAAAAAAAAGAAAATAAAGTGGACGAAAAATAAAAAATAAAAGATAGAATATTTGTAAAAAGGATAAATTCGTAGTATCTCAGGGGTTGAATAAATGAAGTTAAATATCCCTTAAAGTTTCTTTGCGTTGTCTGCCAGCGCGTTGTTCGTTAGAACAAAGACATTAGCAACGTGACTAGTTACCCATTAAGAAAAGGTCACAATGGATTTATACCATTAAATGAATATTGAAAGTTGACTTGGGTTTACTGTAAAAATAAAATAATTAAAAAAAAATTTAATGTTTAAATAATAATTGATATTTCTTTCCACGATGAGAAAATAAAACTATATTTT